AAAAGAGAAGATAGCAATACGAAGATTGAGAATAGGATACACACGTTTAACACACGGTCATCTTATGTCATCTACAGACCAACAGTTATAAAAGTCTAAAAGAACTTCTGAACTGTCGTAAGTCGACTTACGAGCCTAATAGACTTTTTAAAGACTACACAATTGTTTAACAAAATATAGTTTACATAATATTGTTATTTTTTACTATTGTAATCTCTGTATCATAACCATCGAGCAATAAGACAAAAGAGGGAATCTAATCCTTATGAAAAGGAGACCAAAAAAGTGGCCTCTGATGGCGGACATATCCGGAAATGCGAATGCGCCAAATTTAAATTTTTCGACACTTATCAACAGTAGCTATATAATATTTCGCAGAATGTGTCTTAGACGAGAAAGTTTTAATTAATTATTAATGATAAGAGTCTAAAATGCGACACAATTGTTAAAAAACTTCAATATAAATAAGATTTCACGTGACATTTGGGACAAACAATAACATAACCCAACTAAATTTGATGTCAAACAAGGAGAGAGACTCTCTTTCCTTGTTTAATGTGGCCTCTAAAGATCGCACTTCCTGTCTAACAATATGTTTGCCCCCACTACCTTTACATTCCCTCTATTGTCTTTTTGCTCGATGATCATAACTCTGTAGGTACTATGGTAAACCTTTACTCCCGTGCCAATGACCTAAGATGTCGAGACACTTTAATTCGAAACAAAAAAAAAAGTTTTAGTATTAGTAAGAGTTTTGAAGAGTTTTTTTTTTATATTAGTACGAATATAAATAATGTGATTTTGTTAACCCTTAACTGGTATGGTGATTTAAAATTACACTTAAAGTATGGCGGGGTCAGATTTGACCCTGTGCCTTTTTTTGCATGCAGCAAATAGAAAACAGAAAAATTTTCATTCAGATCGAATATAAATCCTTTTTATTATAAATAATAATGTTTACATATACTTTTTAATAATATCTGGCCTACTTCTGGCTAAACTTATAAAAATTAACATGGCTTTTCTTATCTGTAAAAAAAAAAATAGAGAAAAAATTAAAAATAATTTTAAACGGAATTGTTTTAATCAAAACAAACCTAAACCTAGGGAAAAATACTTAAAAACATGAAAAAACATAATAAACAAAAATTCTGACAACTACATTTTGCGCAGTATTTTATTGTTCGGAGCAATTTGTACACATGTTGGACGTTTTGCAATGGTCTTTGCAAATATGCCTGCTACACTCGTCACATACAATTGGATGTTTGTTGTCACTGTAAGGGCATAAGAAGCATCTGGCACGCTTAGGTTGTCGACGTTGAGGGTTATCTATGCTTCGTGGGGCCTCATCTGGGATATTGCTGATTCGCCTTATGGTTACCTTCAATTCCCGAGGAATGTTTTTCATTTGACTTCTTCGAACTAAGTGTTCGTTGATCATTTCTCTCCCTAAATCAATAAGGAAACGGTTACGAACCATCTCATTATTTGGATTAGCAGCATTATAAATTATGCCTGCATTTGCGGCGGAGATGTCCATCATTCGGTACCACAAAGTTAGAGGCCAACGCCGAGTACGTCTTCCTACTTTGTAATTGGCACAAATTTGGTCCAGTACATCAACGCCAACTTTCGTTAGGTTATAAAAGGAGATGATGTCTGGTAATTTCTTTGCTCCTTCTTCGACCATGTTATTATGGTGCATTGTAGACATCATGCAAACTGAGCGATTTCTTTTTGGAACGTATGACGCAATTGTTATATCCTTAGTAAATCCAAAAAGCGAGGAAAGTGGTTCACGTTGCTTACTAGCTAGGAACTCTTTAGGTAACTCCCTTTTATTCCGTCTAATAGTACCTACGTATGTCAAGTTTTGGCGTTGCAATTCTTCAACCAGCTCTAGTGACGTGAACCAATTGTCCCCTGTAATATTACGGTTCGAATTTGCTATTGGTTCAATCAAAGTTAGCACAGTTTGGGTTGGAATAGATAGCTTCTTTGGATTTGCCCTATTTTCATCTTTGCCCGTATATACAAAAGCATTGATCAAATAATGTGTACGAGCGTCACACAAACACAATATTTTTAGTCCGTATTTCACAGGCTTGCTTTTTATAAACATACGGAACCTACACTTTCCCCGAAATCCAACCAACATTTCGTCCACGGTTACGTATTCCCCACAAGAATAGTTTATCTTACAGTTTCCAATAAATCTGTAAAACAAATTTGAAATTGCAGCAAGTTTATCTCCGTCTTCAATACGTTGTCGTCTAGTGGCTGGATTGTCAAATCTTAAGGCTGTTAGCAGGAAACTGAATCTCTTTAGAGTCATTGTTGCACGAAAAATGTCACGACCTGTTCCATCTGTTGCAAAAAGCGAATTTATGTCCTCGTGACTCGACTTGAACACTCCAGCTAGATAGAGAAGACCGAGAAATGCTCGCATTTCTACTTCATCGACATGATTAATAAACTGACATGACAAGGCCTGATCGCCATAGGTTGCCTGCAGTTCAGTTATTTTCTCATTCGTTCTTGCGATAACTTCATTTATAATGTATCCATCGAGAAAAAAACTGAGCGCCTGCAAGGGTTGTAGTTGGCTTATTGGTCCGACATGGTCCCGAAAGGCCAGGAATATGCGACACTATGTTGGTGACGCGAGTACGGCTAGACGCAGGTGGCGTTTTCGCCCACTTTTTTCTATTTTTTCCGTAGAAATAGCCACTTTCATCCCCAACAATTTCACTTTCAACAGATAAGCTAACTTCTTCGACAGAGTGCCTATCACTGCCATCAACAGCTTCATCTTCACTCTCACTATCAGCATTGTAGTCACTATCCGTATCGTGATCACTAACAATCGTCTCTGCATCGGAAAGGTCGTTGTCGGTATCCCATAAAGTTTCAGCAATATGTTCAATTTCCTTTTGTGTCAAAGGCGCCCTTTTGTCACGCACGTTCGACATATTATACTTCGATCACAACTCTAAATTGAAAGAACAAACAAAATTGTATTTTTTTTCTGGAAAAATAACAGTATTGTGCTTCTTACCCGAAAACGAGAAATTATCCTTTAACGGTATGGCAGGGTCAAATCTGACCCAATTCACAATATTCACGTGGAGCCACTAATTGCTTGCGGGCGACTGATAGCGGAACTGAAGCAGTTGCACGCCTTGAAAGAATACCTCAAATGGTATGTTGCCATATCGCCTAGTTTTTCCGAAAATTACAAAAGAATTTCCAATAGGGTCAAATTTGACCCTGCCATACCAGTTAAGGGTTAAGATCCTGAATGAAAGGTCCTGGCAGTATTAAGACTGGAAAAAACTCCAAGATGTAAAATGGTGAATTTAACATAAATATAGTTCATGTGACAATTAGATATTTGTTTTATGAATGTTATTAATATTGTTATACGATTTTGTTTTTGTTTACGAATACCCTACTAAGTCACAAAAGTGGTGTTAAATAAATAAATAATTAATTAAATCTTTCTTTAATTTCAAATTGTACGAAATGAAAATATATATTTAGAAATATAAAAGTCTTTTCATATTTTTCTAGGAATGTTTTTTGTCTCTCCTAATAATTTACCTAATATGGAGTAAACAGGTTTACCCACCTGTACGAAAAACGAGCACCCTTATAATTTCTGATTAAATTACCCTGATCTTTTGATTTTTTTTTTTTTGGTTGTTTTTATAAATTTGACGAACAATAAAATTGAAATTTTCTAGATATCTATTGTTAGAAAATCTCAACAAAATTGAAGTTATCATCTTATCGTTACATCAATGTTACAAGGAGGCTGCGTACTTTATTGTTTTTACTATAATATTTTTAATTATTAATGTCAAGAGTGTTTATTATTGTAGTGTTTGTGTCAATTCTTGGCGAGTATAAGATGTCTTTGAGTGCGAAAATTGTTGCATCTATTATTACTCTTATTCAGGATGGAAGAAGTCAAGTTTATAAGTTTATGTATCTAACAGATGCAGAGTTTCACGCTGTACAGTTCAATTTGTATTAGCTCGCTTTCTAGAAACATGAGTTTACAATCGACGTCCTGGAACATGTCCACAGAGAAAAACTACTCGACACGACAGTTTTATAGTGTCTTCAGTACTAAGAAATCATCATTCAACATTCAACTGCTATAGAGGTTATAAATAGTTTGTAACATATCAGAAACGTAAATGTTGGATAATCATCCACTAAAAGACGGTTAAATGGAGCTAATCTGAGTTCTCAAAGACACGCTACAGGACCCCAACTTTCCAGGGAACATTGTATAGCCAGATTAGATTTAGCTAAGGAGCATCGCAATTGGAATGTAGAGGACTAGAAAAATGTGACGTTTACCGATGGCCACAGCGCACAGTCCCGATTTAAATCTCTGCATGTTTGGACATGGTAGTAGAAGTATTAGATGCCGAATACCTTCTTCTCTTACCTTAGGTGAGCTCAAAGTGCCTATTTTATAGGAATGTGAAGCAATTTCATATAATGAAGTTTAAACTGAATTAGCATTATGCCCAAAGGAATGAATGCCGTTATACAGGCTCCTGGAGGTAATACCAGGTATTGATTAAATCAAAAAGTAATTTTGTAAAGGGTTTCCTTGTTATTTTTATTTTTCCTCTTCAGATAGTTGAAAAGGTATCAATTTATTTTTTTTTGTATTAGTATATAGTTTTGTAAAGTTCTCTTTAAATAAAAGTTTATAGTACGCATATCCTGTATAAAAAATACCTTAAAACCCTCTATAAAAACATGCCATTAGTTGATAAAGCTAAGAATAAAAAACAGTCTGTTTCGACAATTGTATCAAAAATTCAAGGAGTACCCGTTGTACGTGCGGTGATTGTATACTATTACCATATTATTAATGTTTTCTGGACATTTATTTTTTTTATATGAAATGAATTTTGCATTAATCCAAAAACTTCAATTTTTATTTGGTAATTTTTTTTATTTATTTACTCCAGAAACCTGTTCAACCTTTAATATCACATGGAGAACCAACAAGGGAAGGAGAATTTCCTTGGCATGCAGCCCTCTATTACACAAAAGGAACAGATCTAACATACATATGTGGCGCAACTCTTATTAGCAAATATCATTTGATCACTGTAGCCCATTGCGTAACAAAATTGACAACACGAAATGCTTTATCTCCAACTAGTCTCATTGTTTATTTAGGTGAGTTTTTCTATCGTATCAAAGTATATTTTGCATTTATCTACATAATTTAAACAGATATCTCGAAATATTTTTGCTAATTAGTTATTTATTTCATAATTTCTTTTTTGTTAGTGGATGAACAATAAACAATAAATATACATTTCATATCCTGACACAAACATAATATCAAATTATGATATAATGAAAGACAGTATGATATTATTATGACCGTTAAAGTATGAGGCAGTTAAACATTTTCGAGGTTAAAACTGCCTGCAGATTTTCAAATTATTGTCCTTATGGTAAATAACGTGGTTATTTAATAAGATGACACATTTATTTAGAACACAACTGTACACTCTTTTATAATATTACTTATCTTACACATTGCAACCGAGGCTGTTTCTTATGAATGTCCTCGATTCGATTTATTAAAAACATATTTTATATAAACAAATGCGAAATGTGTTACACGTTTCTTTTAACTTATTCTTTTTATGAATTGTAATATTTTAAGGATACTACCACACCATCCCCCTTACGGAAAAAATTTCTCTCTTGCAAGTGTCTCATTCCTCTCTATCTTTTCCTTCATAAGAAGAGAAATTTTCAACCTTAAATAAGTACTGTTTACCAATGCTACCGTATACATATACATTATCTTAATTATAAAACATGTGGTAAAAATAGTTTATTCGTTTGCCCTGTTGAATTATTTGTTTACGCTGCGATTGTTCATTTGCTCTGTCACTTTTCCCGCGATATCACTAATATTGTCTCGTAATATAACCGCTTTCACTTATGTCTACTGATTGTAAGCGTATAATCTGTTTTTATGCACCTCCCTAATCTTTCCGGTATCTAGCCCAATTTTACAGTTAACATTTTTTACTTCTGTTATGACAAAATGACCTACATAAAGACTATCAAACTTATTATTTTGTTCTCTTTTAAGCAGGACTAGGTCTCGTATTTTAAAATGTTGAGGTGCTGCGGTTAGCTTGCTTGCGTCTTGTCTTCCCTTTTTGTGCTTTATTAAGAATCTTGCTATTAAGAATCTGAATCTTGCTTTTAGTTTCTTTACAAGTCTATTATTTCCCACGTGACCTCCAAAACATCGGGTGAATATGGTATTCTTCTATTATTCTCAGTTTTTCTTGGTCATCCGCTATGATTTCTGGTACTTCGCATATGTATATTTCTACATTTTTCAATATCTTATTTCCTTTGTTTATAAATTTATCAATTGTGCACAATTTAAAAATATCATTTACATATATTTTTGCTTTATTTATTGCATTCTCTACCGCTAGCTGATCAAGCTGTACAAACAATTGACAAAAGATAAAATTGGTAGTCTATGCGCCTCTATATTATTTAGTACCTTTTTTACTTTTTGCTTGTGGGTTTTATGCTGTAATATAATTTCCTCTTCTGTCTCCCTGTGCTCTGCACTTTCAGCTTCCTTCTTTGATTGAGCTCTGGTTATAGCTAAGATATGAGTGTTGTCTAAGTATAAGTCTTTCAGCTGGTTCGTTGATATTCTTGAAAGACTGTCCGCGTAATTATTTTTCTCTGTTATGCTATCTCAAAATCGTATTCTTCTAAATCTAACCTGATTCTTGTTAGGTAGGTTTCGAGTTTTCGAGTCATTGAAAATAGGTGTGTTAGTGGTTTATGATCCGTTTTTATCAAGAATGTTGGTGCTCTATATAAATAACATTTGAAATGGTTGACTCTCCAGTAGATTGCATGTAATTCCTTAATTATTATAGGTTTGTTAAGCTCTCCTTTGTTGAGGATGCACGATGCGTAAGCTATCGCTGCTACAAAAGAAAAACTTCGAATGAAGAAAAATATTTGGCAGCTGATCTCAACGTTGCAATGTCTGATATTTTAGCAGGTCGAACATCAATTTATAAGGTCTCAAAGTTATACAAAATACCATACGTGACCCTATATTCCCATGTAAAAGGTAAACGGGGAGCAGTAAAAGCAACTAAAGGACGTCCAACGTCAATTTCTACTGCTGACGAAGTTAGATTAGCCAATGGTCTAAAAACGATGGAGAAATGGGGATACGGCCTATCAAGGAAAGAAGTATTAAATATTGTAGGAAACTTTGTAAAGACTAACCATATTGAAAATAATTTCAAGGATGGAGTTCCAGGCGAAGATTGGTTTTTGGGGTTTAAACAGAGGCATAGATTAAGTATTAAAGTTGCACAAAACATGGAATACTCCCGATAAAATCCTCTTGATCTTTTTATAATATACCAATTTTATGATTTATTAAAATTAATAATGGACAAATATGGTTTTCACGACAAACCTGAGAGAATCTGGAATTTGGACAAGAGTAGCTTGTGCATTGACTTCAGGAATACAAAAGTTGTGGGAGGTATAAATACAGCTTCATCAAGAACAATAAGTTCTCCTGGTAAAGAAAATACCACAATTGCTCTTATGTGTAATGCAGCTGGCTAAAAAGATCAGTATCAAAATATCAAAATATATCAATAGATAGCTCCACGAGGTACTGATTTTGAGGGTACTGTTTATGCAGCGCCAAAAAAAGGTTGGATGGAAGAAGTCGTTTTCAAAAATTACTTCATAAACAGTATAATTCCATCACTTATATCTGAAAGATCAATATTAATAATTTATGATGGACATTCTACTCATATGAATATCGAGACGTTAGAAGCCGCTATGCGAGAACATATTATAATTCTAAATCTGCCACACCATTCCAGCCACCTCTTACAACCACTAGGCCTGGATGTTTTTAAATCCTTTAAAGTTAAATGGGATGAAAAACTTGTTGCCTGGCAGCGACAGCATGTAGGCCAAAAATTACCAAAACAAATAGTTTCCCAATTTTTGTGTACAACTTGGAAACATGTGAACTCCGAAGTAATTATCAACGTCTTTAAAAAAGGCGGAATTATTCCTTTTAATCGTCACGTCATCCCTGAAACATCATTTCCATCCTGCTTGCTTAATAAGTGGAAGATTATAATAAGTGGAAAAATAAAACATTCCAGATTGTCTATACAAGCAAATGGTAATGAAGTATTGGTACCAACTAAAGTAACTCAAGAAGTTTTTTATCAAAACACAGAACCTACGCCTGATGCTCTAATAGAAACTACCATTTCCGACAAAGTAAAAAATATCTCTGTCAGAGACGACGAATTTGAATCAATTCCATGTACAAGTTTAACTAAAAATAAGAACGTATCATTTGAAGATTTATTGTTATCAACAGTAAAACAACTTTCAAACGCAACAACCAAAAATAAGAAACGGTTATGCCCTGGATCTGAAGTATTGACATCACAACAAGCTATTGATGTTTTAAAACAGAAATCTCAACAAAAAGGAAACGGTACTAAAATTCATAAGATAACTAAGGCAAAGCCCAAAAAAAGAAATAAACGAGAGTCATTATCATTTAGCAGCATCGAAGACGATGAGTCAATATCCCCAATATTCATGGATTCTGATAACACCGATGAGTTTCTGGATACACTTTTGGAATCAGAGCCAGAGGTAGAAATAGCTGCAAATGATGACGAGGAAGACAAAGAGAATTTAAATTCAACAAAAAGTGTGAATGTATATGTAGGATGTTGGGTATTGGTAAAATATTGCTCAAAAAAAGATAAACAAGCATTATGGAATTGTATCAGAAAAGATGAATGATGAGTGGATAGTTAAATTTACACGACCTCAAGGAAACAAATTTGTATGGCCAATAAATCCTGACATTGATACTGTACTACAACAGGATATTATAAAAGTACTACCAGATCCTATCGTCGACAGACGTGGAATGTACGAATTTCCAGTTACCATTAAAGGCTTTAACATTCAACATTAACTGAAAGAAAACTTGGAGTGTTTGTTTAATTTTATTATATTTTTATTCCTTTTGTACTGACATTGCTTTCGAAAAGTTTTAATTCTTTTGTATTTTTTCAACAAAATAAATTCTAAAAAAATGCAAGTAGAGAGCTTGAATTACATTTTTATACAATAACCCCAGAGTATCAAATATAATATTTACTACAAAAATGCAAACTTTCTTCACATTTGCCCCGGTCCCTGGGGTAAATGTGATATATTGATATGATTTTAAAAAACAGCATGCAACATTAACAACAATAAAAAATATTTAATTTTTTCTACACAATGAATACAAAATCGTTCAAAAAGTATATGATTTTTTTGATAAATTTTTGAAATGTTTCTTTACAGTATTATATTAAATGAAAGTTGAACTAATTAAAAAGTAGATCACATTTACCCCACTTCACCGTATATATTAGGTATGTTGATATTTTACGTAGAACAAATGCGATATATAGAAACAATAATCCTGACTTACCTATAAAAGTATTCCGTCAAAAATAAAGGATAAATATAATTTTATTGTTAAACCAGCTTTGGAAACGAGACCACAACCATCTAGAGTTCGTTTAAGTTCACTTCCTGGAAATTTAGCGCAGGGACCGGTTACCCGAAATTTAGCTAAGCATTATAAAAGGGGTGGTGCACTTTTCAGAAAATATAGTGGAAAGACATTAAAGTATAAATACTTTGATGATTTTAATGAAATAATAGATAGATTAAGGTTATTAATCGCATCACAACCAGCGGGAGACGACTGACACATGAATGAAATTATATCTATAATTGAAGAATTTCGAGAAGGTGGAATAATACAGTAATGCCAATAAATTGTTTCGGAAATCACATTTTATTTGAGTCAAAAACTTGTAATGATGACCTTTCGGTACCCTTATATTTCACAGCTAATCCAGAAACTTTTTTAGCAAATGTTTCTATCGTATAAGAGGACATGAAAATTTAAAAATTAATAAAAATTATTATATTTTGGAAAACATGGAGACCACTTTTTCATTTCCGTTTAATTGTAAAATTGAATCCGTTTTGAACGTACTTTACTCCGATGGTTTTGTTAAAATGAATTCTAAAACATATAAATTGAATGAATCGAATAGAAAAAGAGGTAGGCCAAAACTCAGATGGAAGGATGGTGTAG